ATAAATATTCAGCTCTTAAATGAATAATAAAATAATAACCACCTAGTGCACTGCCATGATTAACAGGCCTGCTTGGTGACTTCACCTGTCGAAATAAGTTGATGGCAGCAATTTTCAGCAGGAATAATAGACAGAATTTGATGGAGCTTGAGTTCCCGACAATAGTCCCAGATCCAGAGATGCAGGGCCTCATTTTTCATTATACTATGGCCACCTGGTGCCATTCCGGCAGCATAATGGGTGCGTCCAGCCGACAGAACTGAACACTAGGGAAAACCCCATCAGGATGGCTCTGTGCCAGTCCCTTGTAGCCTTTGGCATAGGAGAGCATGGCCAGGGGAAGGTAGCACTGCTGCATTCTGGCTATTATCAGCTGCTTTGGGGGTCATCCCCTGTCTGCAAACACTCCTGCATGTTAGTTGCATGGATTTAGTACATGTCTGTCTTGTTCTCTGTAAACCAGAGGATTCTGCATGAAATCTCTGTCTGCATGACACGCCTGGGACCCTTTTTCTGAACACTTCGGCCAGATCCTCAGCTAGTGCAATCAACACAGCTCCACTGACTTCTCCAGCTGATCTGGCCCAGTGAACCATCCACAGCCCGGGTGTCATTCCAAATGAAGCCAATGGGAGCTGTTTCCATTTATAATCTAGGCCACATCTGGTGATGGTTCCAGCTAACCTGTTTCTAAAGCTGTTTGGCCGACTGGGGTGAATGGGGTCAAATCATGTCAGAAGCACGTTTACAGAAGTCCCCTTACAGCCTGTGTATGGACTGAGGTCTGGTCCCAGTTTCAGCATAGATCTAATAGGATTTAGCCCTGTCCTGCTTGTCTAGCAAAACCCAGCTAACAAACCCTGTTTGGCTGCAACCCTCTTTAAAGCAGAGCTGGACCGAACGCAGAACTCTGGACCTAAACATCCCTAAACTTCTGGGGAGGCGGGAGAGATCCAGAGTTGGACTTTACGGCTGGGCCCCTCTTCAGTTTGAACATGATTCCTTAAGCCCATCTGGGCCTTGGCATGGATGGGGCCTTTTTTGTGAAGAGTTGGGCTGTTGCTGTTCCTTACTGCCCTCCCGAGATCACGGCTAATCTCCTTTTGGAGAGATCACAGCTGGTTGCTAAGGAAATTACTGTGATATCACAACAGGAGGATTATGATTTCAGGTGGGGAATAAGCAGCTGGAGCCAATGAATTCTTAAAGAGCCTCCCCTCCCACATCCCTGCACACGGCATGAGTAAATGCAGAGCAATGCAGAGGACAACTGATCCTAGAAGCAAAATCCCCACTAGCAGAAGCTCTAGAGAGGCCTTCCTATACTCTCAGAGCCCTCCCTGTATAGGTTGTGCTCTCGTCAGCTCCCCTGAGCTATTGCTAAGCAGGGTCAGGTCTATACTCACATGGGAGCCCATCAAGGAAAAGCTTGGTAGCAGCAGGAAGTGGTGCTGGTGACTCGGCAGGATCTACTCTTCCCTCTGAGTCAGTACTGAACGAGTGCTCTAGCCTGGGGCTAGGGTTTGCCATCTTGCAAATGAGACATAAACCCAAGCGCCTGAGCATTGAACAGCTGAGGGCGTATCACAGCAGTAAGTGGCATTAGCCTGGCGCTCCTGGCCAAATTCCAGTTTGAGTCGTTACATCCTGCCTATCTAAAGCTTCCCCTGCAGTGTCCATCAGATACCGTGTCCTCCTTACCTTCTCTGCAAACTACTGCCGCATGTGGTGGAATAGCTCCACTGCAGGAATGGCCATGTTGCAAAGGGTGGGAGAAGTGACTGGTGTTGGCACAGCTTTTGCAGACATAAAATGTGGATCTTCTTTCCCATGAGGCCACAGCAGAGCTGGAGGGATTTTGCCCTCATTATCTCCCAATGGGACCTGAGCAAACAGAGTGGTTAAAGCACTGGGCTGGGAGTCAGGAAATGTGGGTCCTAGGCCCAGCTCTGCCATTGACTCACTTGTGTGATTTTATCGAATCATAGAAATCACAGTGTAGGGCTAGAAGGGACCTCAAGAGGTCATCAAGTCCAGCCGCCTGCACTGAGGCAGGACTAAGTAAACCTAAACCATCCGTGAAAGGTGTTTGTCCAGCCTGTTCTTAAAACACCTCCAATGACTGACGTTCCACAACCTCCCTCGGAAGCCTGTTCCAGAATTTAACAAGCCTTAGGGTTAGAAAGATTTTCCTAATATCTAACCTAAATCTCCCTTGCTGCAGATTAAGCCCTTGGCCTACCTTCCGTGGACACAGAGAACAATTGATCACAGTCCTCTTTATAACAGCCCTTAACGTATTTGCAGACTGTTATTAGATCCCCCTCAGTCTTTTCTCAAGACTAAACAGGTCCTGTTTTTCAAACCTTTCATCATAGATCAGGTGTTCTAAACCTTTTAGTAGTTTTGTTGCTCTCCTCTGGACTCTCTCCAATTTGTCCATGTCTTTCCTAAAGCATGGTGCTCAGAATTGGACAAGGGATTCCAGTCCCTTTACCAATCCCAAGTAGAGCAGAACAATTAACATCCGTGTCTTCCATATAACAGTCCTGTTAATACACCCCAGAATATGCCCCTTTTCACAACTGCATCACATTGCTGACTCATTTTCAATTTGGGATCCACCATAACCCTCAAATCCTTTTCAGCAATACTACCAGCTAGCCAGGTATTCCCCATTTTGTAGTTGTGCATTTGATTCTTCCTTTCTAAGTGAAGCACTCTGCTCTTATCTTTATTGAATTTCATCTTGTTGAATTCAGACCAATTCTCCAATTTGTCAAGATCATTTTGAATTCTAAGCCAGCACCTCCAAAGTGTTTGCAACTCCTCCCTGCTTGTTGTCATCTGCAAATTTCATAAGCATATTCTCCACTTCATTATCCAAGTGATTAATGAAAATATTGAACAGTACTGGACCCAGGACTGAGCCTGTGGGACTCCACTAGACACGCCCTCCCAGTTTGACAGCGAACCATTGCTAGCTATTCTGAGTATAGACTTTCAACCAACTGTGCGCTCACCTTATACAATAGAACCTGAAAGTTATGAGTGCCTTGGGAATGAAGGTTGTTCGTAACTCTGAACAAAACTTTATGGTTACTCTTTCAAAAGTTTACAACTGAACATTGACTTAATACAGCTTTGAAACATTATTATGCAGAAGAAAAATGCTGCTTCCCCTTAATTTTTTTTAGTAGTTTACATTTAACACAGTACAATACTGTATTTGCTTCTTTTTTTCTTTTTGGTCTCTGCTGCTGCATGAAGTGTGTGGTTGACCGGTCAGTTCGTAACTCTGGTGTTCGTAACCCTGAGGTTCTACTGTAGTAATTTAATCTAGACTGTGTTTCCCTAGTTTGTTAACGAGAATGTCAAGTGGGACTGTTCCAAAAGCCTTACTAAGATTAAGACAGATCTGATACTGACCTACTGCACAGGGGTGTTTTTAATCTATTGTAGGTTCTATAGGGTCCCCATTACTGTAGTACAGGGGTTGGCAACGTTCGACACGCAGCTCGCCAGGGTAAGCTTACCCTGGCGAGCCGTGTGCCGAACGTTGCCAACCCCTGCTATAGTATCTGAGTGACTCACAGGATCTGGGCTGAGGTTCCTAAGGATCTCTGTTCTTTCTAGGCTCTGCTTCCCCACCACACCAGTAAGCCTCTGTATTGAGCTCCAGTGCATCACTACTGCTGGCCTCCCGTTCACCAGTGCATGCTGGGACCCACTCTGGCGCTTGGGCCATCAGACTGGGCTCTGGAACAGCTCCAGCCCAAGTAGGTTGGAGCACACGCAGTCTGATGGGAGGAGGCTGCTACAGGAGAGGGCAGAACTGGGTTAAACTGGTCCATCTGTCCCCTCGGCAGGCACCACAAAATCTGGGTGCGGATTCTAATACGCCAGCATTTGGCATGTTCCACTCCAGGGTTTGATTCAGGCCAATCAACTGCAAAGACCTGACCCAGAGAAAGCATTTATAAAATAGACAAATAAAATAGCACTTAACACTGCCATAGTTTGTTTCCTATGGGGACATCTAAAACCAATCAATGAAAGGTGCGTAAATACCTTTATCCCCATTGTACAGATGGGGAAACTTGGGCATGGAGAAAGAAAGTGACTCTTTCATCATCACCCAGCAAGTCAGTGGCAGAGATTCCCAATTCCCGGTCCCCTGCCCTAACCACTAGACTACACTCCTCTCCAGGGCTGAGACTAGAACCCAAGAGGCCCAGCTCTGAATCCAGTGGTGCCCTATCTAGACGATGCTCCCTTCCCAGAGCCAAAAACAGAAGCCAGGATTCCTTAATCCCATGCCCCCTGCTCTAACCACTCAACAACCTCGTCCTTCCAGAGCTGGAGATAAAACTCTTTCTCTCATGCCCTTCCCCCTTTCCAGTGCTCCACTGTGCACCAACCCCCAGTGCATTCTTCTGCAGAGCAGAGCCTGCAAAGGGTTAAGTTTGCAATTAGCAGCTACTTGGGAAGGCAGCACAACACTGAAGCAGGAGGAACTTTATTTTTTAATCTATTTTAAAAAAAAAAGCCTGAGTGCAAGTCTGCTTTTAAATTCAAATGTGCAATATGGGCCAGTGCTTTGGAACCAGACTGAAGCAGCGGATTTGGGCAAGGAAACAAGGAATATTTCACTTTAGCTCAGTCCAACCCATCTTGATTTATACAGCACTTTGTGCGGAGAGAAAGAAACATTCTCTGAGGGCTTTGCAGCTTTAGTAATTAACCCTCCGCCTGCCACCCCATACAATGGGCAGGTTACAACGGAAAGGCAGTAAAGAGAGGCCAGGTTCTCTCCTCTGGCTCACTGGTTCCAATAGCATCAAATCAGTGAGGACTCAGAGTTGTGCCTGTTATGTGTGGGGAGCCCCTTGGATCAAGGCTCAGCGAGGGGCCCTGTCTACACCAGAGTGACTACCTCATGTTAGCAATGGCGCAGCTGAACCAGTGCAAGTCATAATAATAATAGTGATAACACCTACCTCTGACATAGCCGGTGTATCCAGGGACAAGCCAGGCCCAGCACCATTTCAGTCACCAACGTTACACCCTGTTCTGATCAGGATGCTTTATTGGTCACATCTGCATGGCACAGGCATGCACACAGCAGCACTCAGTGAGCTTCCAAAGTCCTATCCCAGCCTGCACTGGGGTCAGGTCAAATCTGGCTGGATTAACCAGGGCAGCCTCTTCTCTGGTTGTTCCAAAGTCCCGGTCAGGACTCCAAAGGGGATGTGCACAGTTACCCGCACGTTACCTGATGTGCTGTGTGAAAAGAGTTGGGGATACTTGGGCCTGAACCCAGAGGGCTGGCATGCTCATGACTAACACCCCCTGCCCCTGAGGACACACTGGAAATCTTTGCAGTAGGGGCAAGAGCTAACCACTCTGGAGGTGCAGTGAACAATCCTGTGTGTGGATGTGCACATGTGCATGCGTCCTCCAGGGCCAGGCTGGTCAGCATGTGGGGAAGCCCATACTACATGTGCTCTGCAGATCAACACAAGACTTCCATCTCCAGAGGTGTCCGTCTGACACCTTTTACCAGCAGGAATTCACTTTAACCACCCAACCAACCACAGCACCAGTTTTCTAAAAGGGTACAGAGGGAGCTCAGCGCAGAAAGCGCACGGTTTTGTCGGTGCTACATAAACACGCTATTGATAGCCCACAAACAGTCAGACAACCAGTGGGGAACATTAAAAGCCTCTCATTATACAAGACTAAGATCCAATCCTTTCCTGTACTCTTCAACCGCACCTTCCTGGCTATTCCAATGCTCTTTGCAGACTAGCTAAACAGACCCCTTTCGCCTAGCAAGTGGTTTGCTGAGCCGGCTGGGGAGACACAGGCCAAAGAGCCCCTGGAGGGTGACTTACCCGGACAGACCTGGGCGCCTGCTGGCCACCATCACCTAGGAGCCCAGCTGGTGAGCAGCTGCAGGTGCCTGGGGCCATCTGCCATGGCAAAGCTAAAGGGGAAGGACCCACATCACATCTGTGACCTGAAGATTACAGGGCAGCTCCAAGGTCAGGCAGGGGCAGGGATCGATCCGCAGGCTACTGATCTGGAGAGGGGGAATGCAACATGGCACAGAACAGCTAGAGTAAGGGAGGTGGGGAGACAAAACCAAACCTGGGGGACCCGGGTACTATGTGGCTGGATATGGGAGAGCAGCATCTCTGGAGGCACCACTGCCATCTGCTGGTTAAATGACAGGATAAGCTTTTCCCAGACACATCCCTGTCACACAGCCCTTCATCCCACCCCCACATTCTGCACCGTGAGACTCAGCTATACAATCACCCTCCTGTGCACAGACACACCCACACCCTTACCTTCCTGCACATGGATACACAGCCTCCCCACACCACAAAGATACATTCCTGCAAAGAGACCCATTGCTACTCACCCTGCTGCAGAGACCACCGTGGTAACACACATACCCATACGTCTGCAAACAAACCCACACTCAATAGCCTGCACAGCAAGACAAAATCTATATCCTCCCCCTACCATGTGCACACACGTACACGGAGACGCACACAGGTTGCTGAACTCAAAGAATGACCGGTGGTAGCTCACATTTCGCATCAGGCCAGCCCTGCTCAGGGTTTACAACAGTTATATTAGGAAAGCCATTTTTCTTCCTTAAGTCTCCACTTCACCAACACAATATGCCCAACTTTGATCATTGGTGCCTCCAAAACCACTAGTACCTGGCAGCACTCCCATCCTCCACAGGCCTGCTGTGCCTCTGGCCCTGGGGTAAGCTCCTGTGGGGCTTACAAAGTCACCCAAATAGGGTTGCCAACCCTCCAAGATTGTCCGGGAGTCTCCAGGAATTAAAGATTAATCTTTAATTTAAAGATTATGGCATGTGATGGAAACCTCCAGGAATACATCCAACCAAAATTGATAACCCTTACGCCCAAAGGAGGCTATGGGTGTGACATAATCAGCATGACAGGAATTAAGCTGAAACAGAGGTAAAGGGAAACAGTGGTTCTGAGCATTCCACACTCATACACAGGGTCCCCCTGCTCTTGACTGCGGGTCCAGAAATAGACTCAGAGCAGAGAAGCTTTACTCATACTCTGGAGGGAGTGGAACGCAGGAGAAGGCGCTCCCAGCAGTGAAGCGGGCACAGGAGCTGCTGTTAAACAACTCTAAGCACCTTCCCTCACCCGTGGGTCTCTATCTCTACTTAGCGATTTCTATAATGTGCCCATCATGGTGGTGTCTGGCCCCAGTACACAGTATTACCAACCCCAAGCACTCAGGTATCATGTGCCAGGCCCCAAAACTTCATGAGATTGACTTAAAAAACATGAGGGTTTTTGTTAATAATAAATGCAGGACTATTTTACACATATTCACTGGTCTCCGGGAGTGGGGCTTTAAATCAGGAGATTCATGATAAAACCACGAGTATTGCCAGCACTGGCATGTTCTCTGTATAGCACTCCTAGCCCCTGCCAGATCAATACCCAGGAGACTGACTACTAGCACTTGGACCACGACTTGCATGGCTGGGGAAAGCTCTAACTGCTAGGCCAGTCTCTTCAGCACCCCCAGGCTGGCATCTGAAGCCAGGTCTGCCACAGGGCAACAGGTTAGAGCTGGGCAAAATATGCCCATTGTTTTTTGGGGGGAAATAATATTTACATTGGGGGGGGGGGTATTGTTTTTTTATTTATTTTTTAAATTTCCCAATTTGTTTTTCCTATTTCTTTTGGTTTTGAAAAACATTTTCAGCAACAATTTTCAGACAAAAATAAATAAAAAAAAGATGGGTTTTCAAAAACTGAAGGCTTTTACCAAAACCCAAGGTCTTTCCTGAAAATTTTCAGTTTTAACTTTAAAAAGTGGAAAATTTCAACCCAATTTAAAACCTCCCAGCAAAGTTTCCTTTTTAGATGAAAAAACCATTTTTGGCTGGCTCTGCAACAGGAACACGACTTCTTGGGTCCGGAGCCAGTTCCAAAGCGCGCCCATCTCCTCCTGGCTTCGGTTCCAAACCCAGCTATTGCATAGCCGGCTGTATGTGGGCCACGCTGCAGCACTCAGCCCCTGCCAGTTCAGGATCTGAACCCAGAGCTCCTGCCTGGTAGGAGAAAGTGCCCATCCTTGGGCTCTGGGCTGGTCTCCATGGCATTCCTTGCTCCGGCTCATGTGGGAAGTCTCCCACGTGGCAGGGCAGCTTCATCTCTTTGGTGTTGTCAGTTTCCTTGAAGAACCTTTCCTAGAAATTTTGGCATCAGTACAAGGTACCATCTGTCTCCCTCCCTCCCTTCCTCCTTCCTGGCTCAGAGTTGGGCTCACATGCACCAGGCAGGTTGTTTTCACAGAGTCTTCCGCTGGCCCAAGTTCCCTTTGAGAAGGGGGAGGCAGGCAAGCGGGTGTCACCAGCAGCTCAGCCTCCCTCCATACGGACTGATAGGGGTGGAGGGGCCCAGGTCCGAGGAAGTGGCTACCAGAAGGATAGTCTTGGGGTTAAGAAACTGCTGTGAGATGCAGAAGAGCTGGGTTCAGTTTCAAGCACTGACTCACTACCTGGCGTTAGGAAGTCACTTCCCCATCTGTAAAACGTGGATTGCGATTACAGCCGAGTGAATAACTGATTTCTCAGTTTGGGGAGTTTCCATCTCAGATCATTTTGGAGTTTTTTCAGCTTATTTTTTAATAGCTACAGTTCTAAACAAAATGCCATTTTAAAATGAAAAATCACAGTGTTTCATTTTGAAGTGGCTGCAATCAAATGTTTCCGTTTTTTTAAATTTTCCCCCATTTTTTTCAGCCCAAACATTTCGATAAATTCACCCTGAATAGTTTTGTTGTCTTGAAAAATGATTTTTTTGGTGAAATTACTTTTTCCCCCAATTGTTTTGCCCAACTCTAATAATGATCCTTCCCTACTCACAGGGGAGTTAGGCTGTACGCACTGATCTTTGCAAGGGACTAGGTACAATAGAAAAGCCTATCAAGATAGGAAACACATGCCCAGCCCAATGGCTAGCCAGTTTTTGGGCTAAGTGGATCTTCCAGGGAATGGGTAAGAAGAGGGCTCTGGTGGAGCTGCTCCTTGAATTCAATCACCTTCAGGTTTCTGATACATCCCTTAAGGCAGTGATTCTCAAACTTGGGCCGCTGCTTGTTCAGGGAAAGCCCCTGGTGGGCCAGGCCGGTTTGTTTATCTGCCGCGTCCGCAGGTTCGGCCGATCGCAGCTCCCACTGGCCGCGGTTCGCCATTCCAGGCCAATGAGGGCTGTGGGAAGCGGTGCGGGATGAGGGATGTGCTGGCCTGCAGCCCCCATTGGCCTGGAGTGGCGAACCACGGCCAGTGGGAGCCGCGATCGGCCAAACCTGAGGACGCGGCAGGTAAACAAACCGGCCCACCAGGGGCTTTCCCTGAACAAGCAGCGGCCCAAGTTTGAGAACCACTGCCTTAAGGAGCAAAACTGGGTCAGATTGGAGCTCAGGCTCCTTGCCTTGCTGTAGCAGCAGCAGGAGGCCTGGGCAGGGGGCACGAAGCAGATGTTAAGGGAAGTGGGGCAAGGAATGGGCTGCAGCAAACGGTGGGGTGACATGGGCCCCAGGCAGTAGACTTTCACCATGTTTGCCGTTGGCAGGGGATGCTCTCTGAAGGCCAGCAGGGCAGCTGCCATGGTCCATGCAAGCGTCACTGGAGTCTCTGGGGCACCTCGCCCTGTTGATGTGCATCAAAGAGGCCTAGTGCTCCCTCCTCAGCTGCTGTGAGGCAGGCGCCATAGAGAAGCCGGGAAACGTGGGATCCTCCATGCAGGATTCCCCCCTCCCAAAACCAAAGAGGGAGGACAAAGCTCAGCAAAGCTGGGGGAGAGTGGAGGTTGCTGACAATAGGGTTACCATATTAAACAAATAAAAAAAGAGGACCCTCCACGGGGCCCTGGCCCCGCCCATTTCCCACCCCAGTCCCGTCCCAACTCCGCCCCTTCTCTGCCCCAACCCCGCCCTAACTCCTCCCACTCCTCCCTCCCACTCCCAGCCACGCGAAAAGGGCTGCCCGACCGCTACCGGCTTCACAGTTTGCCGGGCAGCCCCCAGACCCTGCGCCCCCGGCCGGCGCTTCCCCAGCGCAGCTGGA